TTTTGATCAAATTAATAACTTTAGTGATTTGATTCACTCCTTGACCTTGATAATTGGTTTTACAATCGATATATCTTGCACCAGAGTATCTGAATTGAAATCCATATGATGGTCCACAATCTCTCTTTTTTAATCCGAGTCCAAGATTATCAAGTTGTTCCTGAGTAGTGTTCTTATCCCAAATCTTCACTCCTTGGTTACTGAGTTTTTTACTATCAGTGCTTCCACTCAACATCCATAGTAATTCATAAACTATCGCTTTAAAACGCATCTTTTTAGTTATGATCACAGGGAGTTTTCCATCACATAAATTAAATCTCAATTTAGGGGAAGCAAATATTGATAAGGTTCCAGTTCCAGTTCGTTCATTATTGCGTTCCTCACCTTCATTTAAAATTTTTTTATGAGGTCAAGATATTGGTGTTCTTCATGACGAATTTTTTTATTTATAAGAATTCGAAGCAAAAAGACAAAAAGTATCACGTAGAAAAAAATCAATACATCAATTATGGTAATTAATATATTTGGATATTTTTCAAACATGGTGTTAATCAAGATGATAATGAATCGTATACTGGTGATTAAATACTAAATTTTTGAAATGCAAATGAATGATTCGCGTTAATTTTTATTAAATGAACATCATATCAATCACTATTTATTGTTATGTAACATTACATGCATGATATAAGATAAATAAAAAATTTGAACCCCACCAACTCTTCATGACCTCTTACTTCATTATCTTGCTCTTGATGGATTTCTTGTCTGTAATAACGAAGTCTGTTAAGGGGAAAGTCATGGTAAAAGAGTGCGTGAACATAAAAAAAAAATACTTACGGCTATTACCTACCACCAAAGTCATCTCGATTTAGGATAACTATGAAATGTTTGTTAGTATTTGTTATATTTTTTTATAAGTTTATGGTAGCTTACATGTTCTGTCATCATTAAATACAGGTTGTGCTGAACCTCTGTAATAACCAAGAATACATGCTTTCATAGTTTCTATTTTTTCATTGAGATGTCCAACTTCACTTGTAAGTAGATTTAATTCATTTTGTAATGCATTTATGGTAGATTATTTATTTGTGATAGCTTGGGTTTTTTGGGCCAGGTTATTACATAAATCAACAATTATAGCATTCTTACTAACAAGGTCAGCTTCTAACTCTTCTATCTTTACTCTACTAGATTCTAATCTTTCCTCCAGATGCTTAATAAAATTCACATTCAAACCTAAGGTACTTCTCTTATCTCTTCTTTCAAATCTTTTAATACTATGTTTCAACTCATAATTTTCTCTTTTTAGATGGGTCAGTTGCTTCAAAGAGTTAATGTTCACTTGTTTTTTGGTGGATTTTCTAACAGGCAGCATGACTTTTTTTTATTTAATTACACATATGCACATAGACATGCTTTATATATCATCAATCATCATAATTAATGTTAGGAGGCGTGTTATTATTAATTACTATATACATGCATTTAATTCTTACATATTTTTATTTAATAAATATTTATTTATGTAAAGTGAATAAAATATAAAAATAAAGTAATAATATAAATAAAAAAAAATTACATTTAGGTTTTTTTGTTATGATAATGATTTATATTTATGATATAATTATTACTATGATTATTAATAACATAATTGACCTTATTATTTTTATCATCATTATCGTTACTAACATGACTATAGGTACATTTTTCTTTACTCCTAGAAGATTGACTAATATCTATGGTATTCTGAGGTAAGTTATCATCCAAACATATCCAATACTCTTCCATAAATCTATAAATTCATTATAATGGATTATAGCATCCGCTATATACAATCGATGACCAAACATTTACACCGTGAACAGCATATATGAAAACCAGATCTTTTATATAGAGCACATAGAATTTTTTTATACCATTTATTTTTAAGAAAATCATCATTAATTTTTAAATTATTGACCAAGTTAAAAAAAGTCTTGGTATCAATGTTAATATATAATCAGAATCCTTTTAAAAAAAATTCCTGTACTGAAATGAATTCATCTCTGAGAGGCGGTGACATTGGAGATGTAATATTTCAAGATAATGAATATACACATATCAAAGGTATATACTTGTCTAAATGTGTCTGAAGCATGTTAAAATAAAGTTCAGCATCATCTTTATGTAAAGAATAAATAAATTGTGAGAAATCAAAATCAGAAGTTAAGAATATAATTTCAGACATTTTGAATATTAGAAATTATAGAGCAAATATAAAAATTATAATGTGAAAGTTTTTAAATTAAGTTAGTTGTGAAATTGATCTGTGAAATTTATAATTAATCCTTGTTACACTCAATACACAATCTACACAATCTGATTGATTTAAATCAAATGTCAAAAAGAATCAGTTTTGGATAATCATCTCACAGATCATAAAATGAATGGATCTGATGTGTCAATTATCATTCACATTGCATTCACATAATTTGACAACATTTGAGGATTGCAATATTTGTCAATCTTTTGTTTGATATATATTTCTATATCTTCAACCTCCATGTCTAAACAGACTGATAAGAACGTACTCTCTTTTTTTAAATAATGCATTGCATCAATCTCATGAACATTTGGATCAAATTCATCAACGAGTCTCATTCTCATAGCCACATCTTTAATACCTGGCTGTTTCACAATGACATACTTGAAGCATTTATTTAATTTCTTATCAGGATTCCTCAAATAATAGTGGTTCAAGAAATTTTTGATCTGTTTGTTACCACCTTTCTCAAAATCTACAGGTTTCAGAGCAACATTTCTGTATTTTAATGTGCCATCACCAAGCCTTACCCAAGAAGTGTTCTTACTCCAGTCTATCTCACTATCAAATTTATAGACTTTTGAATCATCATGCTTAGTAACAAATTCAGTATATAAAATTAATTTATTGTCGATCACCTTCCACCAACCATGTTTAAAATTATTATGTTGTATCTTTTTTTTTTTATATATTAAGGTGACTACTTAGGTCCCTGGCACGTAGCTTTATTCAGATAATTACAATATTACATCAATTTCATGAGGATACAACTAGCCACACATGTACTTTTGGTACCTAATTTAAGTAGTTCACCTGGGT